GATGGCAAAGTGACAGTGTAGCTCTGGAACTGTATGATGGAGCCAGTATTCAGTAAGTAGTAAAACTGGCAGATTTTGCTAGGGAAAATTTGGACTGGAGAAAGAACTGGCTTCCAAAGTTACAGACTGATGTTCTAGTTTTAGCACGCATTTGATAGTTAAGTGCAGCATTAGAGTAGCATAGACACAGACACGTTTCCTCCTCTTGCTCCTGCAGTGTTCACCACAACTTGTTTGTTACAGCAGTTGGTAGCTGTGGCAGGCTGTGATTCTTGCATCTTGCATCTGTCATTCTTTGCCGTGAAAGAATCCTTCCATGCAGGGGGAAGGGTGGAAAGGCTGCTTTCTTTCATTCCTGACCTATTTCAAACTATAATCAGCAATCTCAGATTTGCTCAAACACCTGGGAATTCACTTGACTTTAAAAAAAATAATTGAAGTATCCTACAGGTAAACTCTCCTGACTACCTCTTCCAGTTACTTTAGTCCTGTTTCTTTTGGATGAATTAAGTCTTCTTCTGGTACTGGAATTGTTACAGCTACCTGCTGCAGTAGGTTAGAGTGAATAACAGTTCCACGCACACCGAAACATGAGTTCTGATTTAACTTTCTGTCATGAGAATACCTATCACTTTCTAAGGTTATAGGTTCTTGCACGGATTTGCTCTCGTGTGTTTTTTTAGAAATCCATCTGTAATGAATATCTAGATAAAATGGTTACCTCCTATTGCCTTTTTAAACTTGTTTGTATTTTGAAGGCCTTAAAAGACCATGGCCAGGATTATCTTGTTGGCAACAAATTAAGCTGGGCAGACATCCATCTGCTGGAAGCTATTTTAATGGTAGAAGAATGCAAGCCTGGTATACTGTCTGCATTCCCTCTGCTACAGGTTAGTAATCATCAGGTCTCAATATGGAATATGACAAATTTCACTGTCCAGTTTTAAAAGCTAATTGATGTTTAAAGCTTTTGAACCATTGTATCATGTTGCTGATAGTTCTCTATTTCTCTTGACAACAATAATCTGACCACAGGCACAATGTGTTGCCTCCTGTGTGCTCTCCTTTCTCCACCTTGGCTTTCTTGAGCTGTTCTCAGCTGGCAGGAATTCACTTCCTGATGCTACCAGTTTGGTGTTGTAACTGCTCCTTCCATGCCTTCAAACACAGCAATGAGCATCAGGAGGGGAAGTCTGCAGCCTGTTGTGTCTGCAGCTCCTGTCATTTTTGCTAGCAAAATTATATTCTCAAGAAATTACATTGAAGAGCTGTTAAGTTTCTTATATTTTGTGTTTTGTGGTGCTTTGCACTGTGAATGAATCTTAACTCTTCAATATTGTTTTTTTTCACATCTCCATTTGGGAAACAAGGGTAAACTTGTAGCACCAGCATTGCAGATCAGAATACTTACACCTGCATTTTCGAAGGTGGCTAGTATGTTGTAGGTGTATTTTTGCCCTTTTTCATTTTTACCAATGGAAAATGCTGAGTGCTGAGCTGCCTGTAAGGGCTGCTACCTTTTGTGTTTAATAACCAAGTCTGAGAAGTGAAAATCCAAGTTGCCTGATTTTTAAGCTATCAGGGATGGAATTACAATTTACTTACTCTAATTGGCTTTACTGCTGCTTTTTACAGGCTTTTAAAGGAAGAACAAGCAACATTCCAACAATCAAAAAATTCTTACAGCCTGGCAGCCAGAGGAAGCCACTAGAAGATGAGAAGACTGTTGCCACGGTGAAGAAGATATATGGTATCTAACCACGTGGCTGCTTAAGATTACATAACTGTAGTAGATTACCAGAGCTGTGCCTTGTTAAGTGTAAATTGCATAGATTCATTCTGTGGTTTGCATCATATAGCCTGTGATGTCATAATCATGGAAACAAAATACACTTTTAAGCTACAGAAAAAGTCAAATTTATATCTGTTGAGTCCAGAAAATAGTATTTTGTGGAGCAGCTGCATGAAAAGAAGTAAGCTGATTCTTTGTGTTTCTTTGATGACAGTACCTGCCTGGAAGGGTAAAATGTTTCAGCTATAGGTTCCAGAGTACTGCAGAAAGACTACCCCTTCCCCTGCCCTTCATTAAATAAAAGTAAAATAATAATAAAGCAAAACTCATGATGTTTGTAAGTTTATGGACAAAACTGATAAACTTGTTTAGTCCCCACAATATCTTTTGGAAGCGCTTTGTTCACTGAAATATCAAAGTACTTGTGTTTAATTAGCCTGACGTGGTTTTATCCATTGGAAGCACCTATTCTCTTGCTCTTCTTTTTGCTGTTTGGCTGGATGGTCACAGTGAGGAGATGCCACTTGATGTTTTTTTTGGCAAGGTTTTAACTTCTCCAGACACTTCCCAGGTAGCTGTAAAGAGAACTGCACTGCCTGCTTGCCTTTTCAGTAAAAGTGTTTTATTTCCTCAGTGCTTAAAACATTCACTACTGCTTCAGATGCTTGATCCTGATTTCATGGGAACCATCACTGTTTCATTTAAAAACAGTACCACAAACTATTCCTCATCCTTGAGGTTAGTTGTTTTTTTTCATAGGACTTGAACTGATGAGGCAGTGAAAACGTTCATCCACTGCACATACAGAATTTTAACTGCCAGCAACGTTAACTCCTTTTCCAGCTTGGGCATAAGAGACACTGCTTCTCAGAGGTACAAAAAATTACCCCATGGGCTAATTCAGAGAAATCATGGGTCAGGCAAGATATCTTGCTATCTTTGCGATCTGTGGTCGCAGCATCTGCACAATGGCTTCTGCGTTTCAGCACTAGGTTGAGTAAGATTTTCATTGGAGCTTCATCTAAGGCAGGATTCGTCTACACTACAAATATCCAAATCAGCATTGATCAGCCAAGCCTCTTACGGTACATGTTGGTTCAGTTCTTCCAACATTCATATTCTACTTCAGAGTGAAATAAATCACATCTTATGTGTCCAGCTGTCAACCCAATCTGAAACTGACAACATACCAGCTCAGTCACCTGTAAAACAGGCAGCATCTGGAGGTAGCTGATGCCATATTAGCAGTATTCTAGAGCTGGAGGCTCTAAGTACCCTCTGCTCCACCCACCCCCTCTATTATGTCAGTTGTGACTGAGACATCTGAGCTGCTCCCTTGTCCCCATCTGAACTCCTGCCTAGAACAGTAAGTTGGTACTCTGCTGGTTGGTTTGTGCAGCTTTGAGATCTGATATATGATAGTCTTTTTAAGCAAGCTCTGCATGAAAGAAATGAAAAGAAGCAAAATGTCTGTTTTCAACCGTGCACTTACCCATAGTCAGTCTCCTAATGAACTGGCCACACATTCCTGTGCACCAGAAGTCAGTCTTAGCTAAGCTTTGACACCCAGTGAATATTTAATTCTTTTCTATGCAAGCCAAAGTAACTTCAATCCCTGAAGAGTTTATGTCTGAATAGTCTCCATTGTGTATGGGGAGGGCTTCAGCAAGATAATCTGTGTAAGACCACAAACAGCAACTGTGTTAGAAGAGTACTAGAGTGAATTTAGATCCTGTTTGTGCATGATGGTGATCCTTCCTCAGCCGTGTTTCATGATCTAGTTTTTTAAACTGGGCAGATTAAATCGGGAGATTAAAACACTTGCCAACCCAGGTAGTTTCTTTATAAGAAATGCACTGTCTGGTACCAGTTTTTACCACCAGGAAAGGAAAATCCTGCTTTCTTGCAGCAGAGCACGCACTGGAGTTGTTGCAAGAGCCCTTTCCCTCCCACCTCACGCAGGGGCCCCAGCTGCCGAGCGCGGTCAGAAACGCGAGCTGGGAAGCTTGGCCGTGGCTGCCGGCTCTCTGCGGTGCAAGCTCCCCTGCGCAGCCAAGCGTTTGGGAGCCTGCGTACAGCTCCAGCCTCCGGCCTCGCAGAGCCAGAGCCCCTAGCACATGGGCAGTCGGGTGTCCTCACGCAGGGACTGCGACCCAGGCCTCTTCCCCGGCCCCGCCACCGCTGGGAACCCCACTGCCTCCTCGGGGCCTCGGAGCCTTTCTTCTGCCCCAGCGGCCGTGTCCCTCTGGGGCGTAGCCGTGGCATGCCGCCGACCTCGAACCCGGCCCTCTGCGAAGAGTGGCTTCGCAAGACTTCAGGACAAGGCCGCGGCAACTCTTCTTTCCCCAGGCACGCTCGCACGGCTCAAGGACGCGGTTTACCGGCGGAAAGCCAGGCCCCGCTACCCCCGCGCGGCTCATACGCCACCGGCGAGAGCGAAGGCACGGAGGAGGCCGCCCGGCCGGTGCGGCCGCTGAGGGGAGGAGCGGCGAGGCGAGGCGAGGCGAGGCGAGGCGAGGCGAGGCGAGGCGCGGCGGAGAGGGCGGTCCCTGCGGATCTGTCTGGGCAGCGCGCTCTGTCGGCGGTGCGGTCCGTGCGCAGGGTACTGGTGACGGTGGCGGCTTTGGGGGGCAAGTGAAAGAGCTCTCAATCTTCCATACTTCAAGAAAACCTTCATTCCCTGGTGCTCAGGAAGCAGATGAAAGCCTCATCTCTGCTCCACCTGAGAGAACGGCACCGGGGCACTCACGGACTGGACAAGCACTCTAACCGTCAGTTGCGGGACTTGGCAGCTCCCCCGGGGTGAGGGGTGTGGAGGGGAGCCGGTCCCTGCTCGGGGGAGGGTGTGAACTGTGCTGCGACGCGCGGTCTGTGGCGGCGGGGGCTCTCCGGGTGGAATGGCGCCTCGCCGGCAGCAGGACGGGATACCGGCGGTGCTTGGCCGGCTGGGTACGGAGGGTCGGGTTGGGCTGCACTGGGCTTGGCTGCCAGCTCTCTCCAGGTCACCGTGCGGAGCGGAGGGCGGCCAGCCAGTGCCCTTTGCCGGGAGAGCGAAAGGCAAGGCCCGTGTCAGAGCCGTTTGTAGTTCAGATCGTGCCTGGGTGAGCTGCTGCAGGGACCCAGGCCGGGCAGGGAGGGTGTGCATAGGGCGCTCTGTGGGTAGGTCCACCAGGAAACTTGCAGAGGAATTGCATTTGGAGACAGAAGGTTTAAAATCTCGAGGTAATTTGCCTTTCACTCGTGCAAACACTCGTCCTAGCTCTGGTGGAGCAAGGAACGCTTCCTGAATCGGGACTTGGCTGGAGGCCCAGTAAAAACCACATGCTGGTGAGAAGTTTGTCTTAGGGTGGTCTGGAGACTGAGCTGGGCCCGATGCAGCATGGGGCCTGTGCTGTGAGGTCCTTCTGCTTGAGCAGCCTTGTGTGAGCGGTGTGTGAGGAGCAGAGAACTACTTTGGGGTCCACATCCAATTAGAAAGCAAGTTTAAGGTCTTGCAGCAGATTATGGGATTGCTGTTAGATTCACTTGTTTCTCACTGGAGGGCTGCTGCCTGAATTAGTTTTGGACAAAACGGGGTGATTTTTTAAAAAAGTGAGATTGCAGCAGTAGCTGTCACTGGCATCTGCCTGGTGGAGGTCCAGGGAAGATCTGATGCAGTGGAACATCGAGAAAGTTTGTGGTTTGTTTTCAGGTCAGTTATTGCTATTGAAGAAAGGCGATTTACCAACTTGACGACTCTTTCGTGACTCACTGCTTTACAAAGAGATAGTTGTTGCAGAGCAGGAACAGAGTGGCCAAAGTACTTTGCAACGGTGTGTAAGTGTTCAGTCTAAGCCCCAAAGTCAGTCCTGAAGCAGTGCAGTTCCAGAAAAGTGTAAACTTTCCCTCACCAGCACAGAAAGCCTCAACCCTTGGCCAATCCCCCGAAGGAACTGTGATGAACAAGTGCAGGTTATGTTGATACCTGGACTTTTTCCCACTGACCCTTGCTGTGCACTTTGGCTTCCGCAGGTGATTGCAGTGGAGCACTGAGGTGACATGGGCCAACAGGGCTCTGGCTGGGCTGATTTTTATCAGCTCTGCCTCTGCTTTGGGGAGAGGTCAGGGAAGTTTGCTCTTTCTGCTTACACTAGTCTGTAACCGTAGGTTGTTTCCCAGCCTTGATCCCATGAACTGACGGTTAGAGTGCTTGTCCAGTCCGTGAGTGCCCCGGTGCCGTTCTCTCAGGTGGAGCAGAGATGAGGCTTTCATCTGCTTCCTGAGCACCAGGGAATGAAGGTTTTCTTGAAGTATGGAAGATTGAGAGCTCTTTCACTTGGTATAATGTAACTCACACACACGGGAACTAGAAATGGTCATGGTCTTCTGTATGTGGGGCTTGGTAAAGGTAGTTGTGATGAGGCAGTTCTCTAAATACGTTATTTATGCACCCTGTTGCTCTTCAGGTATACAGGAATCTGTGAAGGCACCCAGCAGCTCTAGACTAGATGCCAAGTCAAAACCATCAAGACATTATCAAGTCTTTATTATTGAGCAAATATTTACGTGTCAGGGGAACTTTGTTGCAAGAGACTGAGGTGTCTGGGATACAGGCATTGCCAGGGCCAAGTGGAAGTGGGGCAGTGGTTTTCCAGACCCGTTTTTTTGGATGGGGGCACCAGGTTTCTTCATTGATTGGAATCATGGCCAAAGTTTCCACTTTGTGGCTAAATTACGAACTGTGAAGTCTATCCAAGAATAAATAAGCCTGCCTGTACACAGATGAAACCTTTGCTTAGCGATGAGTTACTTTGTCACACTGTCTTCTATGAAACCTGCTTCATTCTCCTGGGATCCATTAGTCGTAAGAGTACAGTGCTAGCTTTGTTTCCAGCCCCAGGCAAGCTCGCATCAGCTGCTGAGATCATACTGTGGCATGTGACTGCACTGGTTAGTGAAATTTGAGAGAGCAAATGCTTCATCCCAGTGCCATGATCTGGTGTGCTGACTTCAGTTCCCTGCTGCTGAGGGCATTGACCAGTTTGTTTGGATTTGATTTGAAAGTTACATTTTTAGGGCAAATAGGATATAAATCCTTGTTACAGTTTAACTGTTGTTTATAAAATTGGAACGAGTCTTAAGTCAGTGCACATTATCTATAGTGCATATATTGTGATTCAGGATTACCTTGCAGTTCTGCTTTGGTTGTAAAGCTCTCATGAGCTCTTGCAGCTATGTTAGTATTTTTAAAGATATGTGTATGATTTAAACATATACGTATGAATTTAGGTGTTTATTACATTCTCTCATTCTCTTTCGAATTGTTGCATGTTCTGGTATGTGTACTTTCTCTTTTCTTTCACCAACCCACAGGAAACTTGGTTGCATCAAGTATGTAGGCCTTGATTGCCCTTTTACCCACACTTTCATCCAACTTTATTGAGTAGTTTGGAGTGGAACATTTAAAATGCTAATTTTAAAAATTACTTCCTTCTGTATAAGATCGTCATCTCGAATTTGTCAGGATAAAAGAAGTCCGAGATCATGGCAGGGAAGCCCAAGCTGCACTATTCCAACATAAGGGGAAGGATGGAGTCAATCCGATGGCTGTTAGCAGCAGCTGGGGTTGAGGTGTGTACCTTTTTTATAAAGTGATCAGATTAATCTGTGATTTGAATATACTCTTTGGAAAGGTTTCCTGATAATGTCTGTGCTTAGAGATATAGACATCACATACTGTGATGCAGAATGCCTAGAGTCAGTGATACGCTCTCTTATGTTGTGTTTAATGTATTTCGTGAGCTATTAGTTGCACAGTAAAAGGGTTCTAACACACAAAGAGAATTGTTAAGTGGAGCGTTTGAAACGTCCTTTAAGCTGAGATCTTAAACTGTTGCTACACACCACAACTGTGTATCTCTTTTTTTGAATGCTCATTACTTCCCTGTGCCTCATGAGTATTCTCCACTGGAAGACCATGCCTACCACATGAAAACCTTTAGAACATCATCTCCAAAGTGCTTGTCATTCTTTGGGTTAGGCCCCAAGTCAGATAAATAAGCAGAGCTGCCCTGAAGGCAGGAGGGAGATATCCAGATTCACATCAGGTGAAAACCATCCTAAGGAGTCCTAATTTCTACATTCAGTTTTTGTTTGAATACGCTGCTTTGAAACTGTTTTCTCAGAAACTCTTTATACTCTGTTGGAAATAAAAGGGGTTTTAATGGTGCTCACTTGTGAATGTTGCGGACAGAAAAGCTGCAGAGCACAAGTGCTGAGGAAACAAAAATCTTGCCCTCATTAAAAAGTCCTCATTCAAAAGAAAATAAATATGTCAGTAGGGGTAAAGAGGGACATAAATGGTGTGTAACAGGCATAACTTATTAAAAAAATCAGTATTTCATGTTGTATCAGCTGCTTTTAAGTGAATGATTTGGTCTCAAATCATTCATTGGTCTCAAATCATTCTCAAATTCATTGTTTGTGCAGGCAAGTAGACTGGTCTTTGTAACCAGGGAGCTTTTGTGAAGTGTAAAGCATTGTACATTGCTGTGGGGTTGGGGACGCTTATCGTCCCGGATTATTTGCTGGAAGAGAGATGAAGAATAAGAGTAGGGGTCAACACAGTCATGGCAAGTATGGGGAATAGTGTGGAGAGATGTAGTTTAATTTCCAGACTTCCTTCCACTTTTCCTTGTTTTTTGTGACACAGTATTGTTTTTTATCATTGCTTTTCAGTTTGAGGAACAATTTGTAGAAAAGAAGGAAGACCTAGAAAAATTATGCAATGGTGAGTCTGTAAATGGTACCCTAAGTATAAATTCACACCGATATAACAAAGGTATAACAGGTGATATTTGTGTAACTTCTCCAGTACAATGTAACCTGTAAAAAGATGAGTTGAGAGACCTGCTTGCTTTTGATGCGTTCATGCCTCAGATTTGGAAATGTCTTGATGTCTTACTGGATCTCTCTCAGATTCAGCACAGTAGTGAATAGTTTGCTTCCTTGTCTTCCCAAGATGGATACCTGCTATTTCAGCAAGTGCCCATGGTGGAGATTGATGGGATGAAGATGGTGCAGACAAGAGCCATTAGCAGCTACATAGCAGCGAAGTACAACCTCTATGGAAAAGACCTGAAGGAGAGAGCCTGGTACAGTAACAGTGCATACTAACCTTGCTAATACTGTGCCATAATTTTTAATATTTATGAGAAGAATATTGCTTTGAAATATCTGCATGTAAAGATGCCCATACATCTGCTTGTGCTTTGTCTCCTCAGATCCAGGGACTGGGTGAATGGATTTTGTGATTGAAAAATGATTGTTAATTGTGAACATGGTGAGAATGTCATGGTTGCCTTCAGGCTCATTTGATTTCACAGAGACCAGAAGTGCAGAAAGTTCCTGGACAACTGCAAGGCCTTTATACAATAATAAAGGCTAATTACGTTAGTTGGTTCAGGGTTTTTTCCTCTTTAACTGAGAAAACAGAAGAAAAAACCCACAGCTGCCTGCAAAAAACCAAGAGTTGTTAAGTGTTCTAACTTCCTTTTTTCAAAATGTAAAGAATCCTTCAATCTGATCTTAAAAAAGACATGTTCAGTGGCTTAAGCTACTGAAAGTTAATCCAGTATTTTCCTAGTATTACTTTGCTATGTAAGCTGTGGATATTTTCCATTATCATAATTAAAGGGCTAATGCAAATCAAAAATCCTTATTTTGTAAACCAAACAAAAGTAATGAAAGAGTTCAGTTAAGTCCTTAACCTAACTGACTGCCGCTTCCTGTAAAGGGCTTCTTCTGCGACAGTGGAGGTGCAACACCAGAGACTCTGGGGATTATTATGGACTGACATGTCTGAACTGGCAACTGATAACTGGGATCCTTCCATGATTAGACCTCAGAACTGGTTTTTATCTTTTTTTCTCCAGTGTGGCTTATATATGTGGTCTTTTGTCACATGACATAGATGAACAGATTGTCAACAAAGAACAGTGTGAACTCCACTTGAAATACATCAGTCGCAAACTCTTACATATACCTTGCTTGTTGCACAAACTGTGAGCCTGTTTGTAGAGATCTGTGCTTTGAAAAACAAATGGACCTGGAATCAAAGTGGAAGAACAAGAAAGCAAACAAGTGTCTTCTGTTACGTTCACTAATAAGCATTCTACTTGGTGATCGCTTCACCACTGTCTTTCAGGAAAATAATAAAAACAAAATGGTAAAATGAGAAATATGAAATAAAAATATTTGTTTCAGGATTGATATGTATGTGGAGGGAACAAAAGACCTGATGGAAATGATTATGTATCTCTCCTTACAACCAGCCGACACAAAAGAAAAGAATCTTGCCTTAATCATTGAACGAGCTACAACCAGATACTTTCCTGTTTATGAAAAGGTAAGTGTTAAAACACAAGCAGTCCACAAAGGCAGTAAAGTGGGGAACAGGTTCCCTCCCCACTCCATTTTCCTGTTGCCACACACCTCCATTTCAGATGGCAAAGTGACAGTGTAGCTCTGGAACTGTATGATGGAGCCAGTATTCAGTAAGTAGTAAAACTGGCAGATTTTGCTAGGGAAAATTTGGACTGGAGAAAGAACTGGCTTCCAAAGTTACAGACTGATGTTCTAGTTTTAGCACGCATTTGATAGTTAAGTGCAGCATTAGAGTAGCATAGACACAGACACGTTTCCTCCTCTTGCTCCTGCAGTGTTCACCACAACTTGTTTGTTACAGCAGTTGGTAGCTGTGGCAGGCTGTGATTCTTGCATCTTGCATCTGTCATTCTTTGCCGTGAAAGAATCCTTCCATGCAGGGGGAAGGGTGGAAAGGCTGCTTTCTTTCATTCCTGACCTATTTCAAACTATAATCAGCAATCTCAGATTTGCTCAAACACCTGGGAATTCACTTGACTTTAAAAAAAATAATTGAAGTATCCTACAGGTAAACTCTCCTGACTACCTCTTCCAGTTACTTTAGTCCTGTTTCTTTTGGATGAATTAAGTCTTCTTCTGGTACTGGAATTGTTACAGCTACCTGCTGCAGTAGGTTAGAGTGAATAACAGTTCCACGCACACCGAAACATGAGTTCTGATTTAACTTTCTGTCATGAGAATACCTATCACTTTCTAAGGTTATAGGTTCTTGCACGGATTTGCTCTCGTGTGTTTTTTTAGAAATCCATCTGTAATGAATATCTAGATAAAATGGTTACCTCCTATTGCCTTTTTAAACTTGTTTGTATTTTGAAGGCCTTAAAAGACCATGGCCAGGATTATCTTGTTGGCAACAAATTAAGCTGGGCAGACATCCATCTGCTGGAAGCTATTTTAATGGTAGAAGAATGCAAGCCTGGTATACTGTCTGCATTCCCTCTGCTACAGGTTAGTAATCATCAGGTCTCAATATGGAATATGACAAATTTCACTGTCCAGTTTTAAAAGCTAATTGATGTTTAAAGCTTTTGAACCATTGTATCATGTTGCTGATAGTTCTCTATTTCTCTTGACAACAATAATCTGACCACAGGCACAATGTGTTGCCTCCTGTGTGCTCTCCTTTCTCCACCTTGGCTTTCTTGAGCTGTTCTCAGCTGGCAGGAATTCACTTCCTGATGCTACCAGTTTGGTGTTGTAACTGCTCCTTCCATGCCTTCAAACACAGCAATGAGCATCAGGAGGGGAAGTCTGCAGCCTGTTGTGTCTGCAGCTCCTGTCATTTTTGCTAGCAAAATTATATTCTCAAGAAATTACATTGAAGAGCTGTTAAGTTTCTTATATTTTGTGTTTTGTGGTGCTTTGCACTGTGAATGAATCTTAACTCTTCAATATTGTTTTTTTTCACATCTCCATTTGGGAAACAAGGGTAAACTTGTAGCACCAGCATTGCAGATCAGAATACTTACACCTGCATTTTCGAAGGTGGCTAGTATGTTGTAGGTGTATTTTTGCCCTTTTTCATTTTTACCAATGGAAAATGCTGAGTGCTGAGCTGCCTGTAAGGGCTGCTACCTTTTGTGTTTAATAACCAAGTCTGAGAAGTGAAAATCCAAGTTGCCTGATTTTTAAGCTATCAGGGATGGAATTACAATTTACTTACTCTAATTGGCTTTACTGCTGCTTTTTACAGGCTTTTAAAGGAAGAACAAGCAACATTCCAACAATCAAAAAATTCTTACAGCCTGGCAGCCAGAGGAAGCCACTAGAAGATGAGAAGACTGTTGCCACGGTGAAGAAGATATATGGTATCTAACCACGTGGCTGCTTAAGATTACATAACTGTAGTAGATTACCAGAGCTGTGCCTTGTTAAGTGTAAATTGCATAGATTCATTCTGTGGTTTGCATCATATAGCCTGTGATGTCATAATCATGGAAACAAAATACACTTTTAAGCTACAGAAAAAGTCAAATTTATATCTGTTGAGTCCAGAAAATAGTATTTTGTGGAGCAGCTGCATGAAAAGAAGTAAGCTGATTCTTTGTGTTTCTTTGATGACAGTACCTGCCTGGAAGGGTAAAATGTTTCAGCTATAGGTTCCAGAGTACTGCAGAAAGACTACCCCTTCCCCTGCCCTTCATTAAATAAAAGTAAAATAATAATAAAGCAAAACTCATGATGTTTGTAAGTTTATGGACAAAACTGATAAACTTGTTTAGTCCCCACAATATCTTTTGGAAGCGCTTTGTTCACTGAAATATCAAAGTACTTGTGTTTAATTAGCCTGACGTGGTTTTATCCATTGGAAGCACCTATTCTCTTGCTCTTCTTTTTGCTGTTTGGCTGGATGGTCACAGTGAGGAGATGCCACTTGATGTTTTTTTTGGCAAGGTTTTAACTTCTCCAGACACTTCCCAGGTAGCTGTAAAGAGAACTGCACTGCCTGCTTGCCTTTTCAGTAAAAGTGTTTTATTTCCTCAGTGCTTAAAACATTCACTACTGCTTCAGATGCTTGATCCTGATTTCATGGGAACCATCACTGTTTCATTTACAAACAGTACCACAAACTATTCCTCATCCTTGAGGTTAGTTGTTTTTTTTCATAGGACTTGAACTGATGAGGCAGTGAAAATATTATCCACTGTACATACAGAATTTTAACTGCCAGCAACGTTAACTCCTTTTCCAGCTTGGGCATAAGAGACACTGCTTCTCAGAGGTACAAACTGGAAATGCCTCAGTCACACAGGCACTGCTCAGATCAGCTAAGTTTCATGTTAAGATCACATTCTAGGTAGCTGGAAGTAGTAGTTTGCCATGCCCACCATAGTACTCAAGTTCCAGAAAAGCACTGTGAATGCTGAACCATCTACAGAGACCGGCATGGGACATCCCGTTTGCATTTTGTGTCCCCAGTCCCATAGGGACTTGCTGAGAAGGTTACTTGTTTGAGCTACTCAGGGATTTCAGGAGAAGCTTCTGGATTACAACTGGGCTTGGATTTACTTAGACATCTGAGCTGCTCCCTTGTCCCCATCTGAACTCCTGCCTAGAACAATAAGTTGGTATTCTGCTGGTTGGTTTGTGCAGCCTTAAGATCTGATATATGATAGTCTTTGTAAGCAAGCTCTGCATGAAAGAAACGAAAAGAAGCAAAATGTCTGTTTTCAACAGTGCACTTACTCATAGTCAGTCTCCTAATGAACTGGCCACACATTCCTGTGCACCAGAAGTCAGTCTTAGCTAAGCTTTGACACCCAGTGAATATTTAATTCTTTTCTATGCAAGCCAAAGTAACTTCAATCCCTGAAGAGTTTATGTCTGAATAGTCTCCATTGTGTATGGGGAGGGCTTCAGCAAGATAATCTGTGTAAGACCACAAACAGCAACTGTGTTAGAAGAGTACTAGAGTGAATTTAGATCCTGTTTGTGCATGATGGTGATCCTTCCTCAGCTGTGGTTCATGCAAGTGGAAATTTAAAGCATGGTATGTTTTAAACCATACTGAGTATAAAGCAGATCACTCTGAGAGACTGATCTGAAATCAGACTCCACTGTCCATTATCTCAAAAATTAGTCTGAGGTATTAAAATGCGACTCCACCGACCACTGTCTCAGAGATCGGTGGGGGGTGTTATGATAAGACTCTTCCATCCACTGCCTGGGAGAAAGGAGTGAGGAGCTGAATTGGGACTCCACTGTCCATTACCTCAAGGACTAGTGTGAGGAATTGCTACCCAATATCCTGAGAATTGCTGCAGACATATGTGTGCAGACACACGTGCAATTGAACAGCTGGCTGCATGACCAGGGAAACTGGTCCACCAGGAACATGTAATAAGTGACATGAAGAACAGAGATACTCCCCCCAACTCATTATAAAGTGGGAAAATGTAATCACCAAGGCACATGGCCAGGGAGCCATTGCCATGAGGATGACTCCAGAAGGACACCTCTGTGAGGATCCTCTCTGCCAATGACTACTACAGACTCTGTGGGACACCCCCCATGAGACATGGCCACTAGGGCAACTCCATGAGACACACTCCACAGGGTACCTTCAAGGGTACTCCAGAAGGACGCCTCCATGAGGACACCAGCCTCCAATGGATTCTTGGGGGACACTCTGCTCCAATACTGACTACGAACCCTGAAGAACTCCCATCACTGACAACGGTGACAACAGATCCCCAGGACACCGCTGGATCCATGGTGGTGACTCTCTCTCTCTCTGCACCCCGAATCCTTGCTTCATTTTCTACCTTTTTTCTGATCTGTCCTATTGCTATCCACTTTATTACAATAATTTCCCTTTTTTATAGTAACTTTTTGTAATTTGTAATAAACAGTCTGCTTACTGTACTTGACCTCATTTGTGTCTTAATTTCACTAGTGGGATGTTGTGGTTTAAACCCAGTCAGGCAACTTGTTCACTCACTCCCAGTGAGTGGTGCTGGGCTGACAACAATCGAGGCCCCCCCCCCCCCCCACTGGGGCTCTCCCCTTCCCCCCCCACCGGAGGAACGGGGAGGAGGATCGAAAGAGTGCAACTCCTACGGGTCGAGACAAGAACAGTCCAGCAACCAATGTACAACACAAATCACCACCGCTACTATCAACTACAACAATGATAAGGGAAAATAACAAGGGAAGAGAATATGATACCACCGGCCAAGAAACGAGTCCCACGCGGAAGCCCGTGTCCTTCCGGGTAACTCCCAGTTACCCCCCACCCGGCCATGACGTGCTGTGGTATGGAATACCTCCTTGGCTAGCCTGGGTCAGGCGCCCCGTCTTTGCTTCCTCACAGCTTCCCCTCCTCCCTGGCAGAGCATGAGCCTCACAAAGTCCTTGGTCAGGGTAAACATCACTTAGCAACAACCGAAAACATCGGTTTCACCAACATTGTTCCCAGGCTGGAAGTCAAAACACAGCACTGCACCAGCTACCACAAAGGAGAAACATGACTGCTACTGCTGAACCCAGGACATGGGATCACAAACAGAAATGGTCCAGCACTGGGGTTTTTCTCCAATCTGACCCTGATAATCACCAGACTGTTTCGTTGACAAAGTGGTTCACTAGTCTGCATAAAAAACTAAGAAGTTTCAAGCATTTTGCATTTTATTTGAATACTGATAATATTTTTTACATTTAGAAACAGTGGGGTAAGAAACTGTGTTTGAAAGGAAGGTGGGTTTTCTAGTGCAACATAGCACAGGCCCGAGCCTGTACTGATTAGTAACTGACAGTGAGATTAGAATTGATTACTTAATCTCAGAAGCTAGAAAATTATGGTTCAATACAACATACCTTTTTAGCAAAACATGTATTTATATATATCCTTCTCTCAGAGATGTAGTGAGTGCAAGACTAACTCAATTTCTTGCGGTGCTCAGCACCCCTAAAAGAGATAAAACTTACAGAGAAAGATCCCTTGAGTTAACAGAGTGCTTAAACAGAAGTAGATCAAAATATATTATCAACAAGCCACCCGTTTTAGTTTAATAAAAAGCTTGCAAAATATCAGCAAATGTCAATAATCAAATAACAGGTACAGACCTTTTACAGAAAAGATAAATGCAATGCAAGTAAGACTTGTGTTCAAACTTGTCCTTCAAGTATGAAGAGCTTGCCTGTTTGTTCGGTGGGTGTGGCAGTCGTACTTCAGTTCTGACGCTGCCAAATTCCCCTAGAGCAGCATCAAAACAAGCCTCAAAATCATCAGAAGGCTGCAAGAAAGAAAAAAAAAAATCAACCCCCCCTAAAAACCTCAGAATAATAAACCCCATAAATATAGTTATGAAAGTCATCACTGAATAACAGCACATTCATAAATACCTGACACTAGAGCCTCTAGTAAGCAATCTTTTAAAAGATCTAAATCTACAGCCTCAGTGTCTATGGAAACACACAGTCCACCTAGGCTTGAAAAGCAATCCAAAATGGAAATTTTCCAGTTTAGGTCCTGATTCTTAAGTTCTGTAACTTGACAATTTGCATCTGATTTTTTCTTCCCTATATGTGAGTAAAACTGTTAATGGTGTTATATTAAATGTAGTAACAACAAAGCAACTAGTTATTACACCTTCAGAAGGTGAAGATTCTGACTTACAGTTGAAAAATGTTTTGAGTTACAGACTGACTGGGACAAAAGGAAAAAATGCTTGTCTTTTCTAAGATTACTGTGTTGGATGAAATCTGATGACTAATTTTATGCATATGTATTTGAAAACACTGAGGCTTACCTCAGGTTCTTCCAAGAGCCTTATCAATATGCATTAATATTTAACTGCAGATCTCTCCTTTCTGTGCTGAGAAAGTCAGTCCATGTCAGATGTATCCGCCTAGTGAGATGAAAAAGCTGTTCACTGGAAAGAGGACTGTGACCTCCAAACTAATTTCGCTTAAATCATACAGTTGCTGGATGATAATAACTTCCACTGATACTGGTTTGAATCATATATCACATGGCAACTACTTGAAAATCAGTGAAATATTTACATTAAGATCCTTAATATATGTTTACCTCAGGCATGCTACTAGTCCGGCTGGCATTAATTTCTTGGACCTCTTGAACCTCATTCCCATTATAATAGTCAAAAGAAAAGATGAAACTGTAAAAGACAATTCAATATATTTATGCTCTCAGTTGTCCCATTGGACCATTCAGGAACATGGATAGTTATCAAAGGTCATTGCTGTTTTACTATGAACTGTAATATAATAAAACATCAGGTCAGAGACAAGGTCTATAAAAACATTCTTGCTTTTCCAAAATACACTGCTATGATTTCTTTCAGCTACAAATAAGGTTTCCACATGCAGCAGAATGCTAAATCCTATTTCAGAGATACTAAGTAATTTTGTCAGACAATGAATTCTACTTCCCTATATTAATGGGGATACAAATAAATTGGAAGAATCTTCATCACAACAGTAACATGTATGCTAAATTACAGGAATAGTGCCTTATAAATCCCACCACCCTAGATCACCGCAGCTGATTTCTAACTATTCAAAGAGCTAGAGCATCC